TTTGGAAAAGCCTTTTTCCTGTTTTAACACATCCCTGTGAACAAAGTCAGGTCCATAAAGAAATGGTTTTCTCAGTTTGACGTGGAACATCTTGGCTGACCTGCAAAGAACCCTGACCTCTGTCCCATCCAACAGTTTTGGGATGTAGTGTAACGCCGACTGTGAGCAAGGCCTCGTCCTCCAACATCAATGCTCTTGTGGCTGAATAGGCACAAATTGCTGAAGCTAGGTTCCAAAATCAGGTGGAAAGTCTGAAACCATAGGAGTTGAGGCTGTTATAGCAGCAGGTTTTTTACCCTCAGCAGATGTAGACAGAGTCAAAGACAACACTAATTAAATTGTATATACATTTATAAAGACTTTTATTTTTGAACTCTTGAAAACGACCTAGGTAGATGGAGGCAACAGCCTGAATGAGGTTAGTGTCAGAAACGCCATCCTTCCGTTCATCAGTCAAGCTTGCATCTTAAAGTGTCCCCTTGCCACACATGGCAAATACACACTAACTCTACCCTCAACTATTAACATTTCGATGAGTATGCTTGCAGTTTTCGATGTATTTACATCCTTTGTTGCGCTACAATGCACTTTGCAAGCAACCTGCTTTTTGTTAAAAGCACTTTGTCGATAAATTTGACTTCCCTCGACACTCAATACTCGGAGTCCATTAAGCCGCAGAGCCATGGAGCTACTCTGTACGCCAGGGCCACTGGTTCCAGTAAGGTATATCTGCTGAGCTCTCATTAGCAAGCATCATCATATGTAATTCTGGCACGTGTAATGCCATTAGAGGGGATTTGGCATCTGATAGTTGAGTAATGGGATTAGCTGGGCAGTAAATCTCCAGCACCAGATCTGTAGGTCTTCCCCACTCAAAGGAAGACAGATAGACACACAACCCAACCCACCTTTTCCACAAGTGAGTAATGCAAGTCATCTCTTTGTCATGGCTGAATGCTTACTAATGTGTTTTCTGTTTCTTTTCATCCTCATTTACACAGCTCAATATCTTGTAAATACAGTGGTTAATGGCCCACATTTTCAGACAGTCTCTCCTGGAAAACATTCAAAAGTGGCAGAAATAGTTGTGCCAAGAATGAAGAAAGATAGCTAGAGAGAGAAGTTCAAACCCCGGCACCTTTCTCACCTCTGCACAGCTGACCAATCACGATGTGAAGTGGGTATGAATGTTCAATCGTCGGTTTCGGAGAAGAAATGATACAGAAATGGTCGGACAGATTCCCACCCGTAATCTGAATCGGGAAGGTGCAGAGGCATATTTCAGCATCTGACAAGCACTTCTGATGGAGTATGCTGACTCCTTTAATGTTCACTGTTAGAGAATTCATGTGTGTATCAGGACTGTTGCAATTCTTTATAGTATTAATCTTCATCTTATGCTTCGAAGCCCCCCTTTTGTGCTTTTTTCTCTCTCACCCCACACAGAAACACACAGTCATCCCAATTACAATGCATGTAAATCAATCTTTTGTTTCTGATTACAGTTTTTAACCTTTGTGTTCTGTTGACATTGCCTTTACTTCTTAATTTTTTGGGTTTTCACAGATGGGGTTTTTCACATTTTAAAACCTAATATGTAACAAAAGTATTGAAGTCATATTTTTTCCTTTGACACAAACTTGAAGACTTGATGAAGATGAATAAAAAAATTGGCATAAAGCATTTTTATCATTTATTAAGCCACTTACAAAGTCAGCCTACTATCACCTAAAGAACAGATCAAGGATTAAAGGACTTAGCAGGACCTGGATGTCCATGCATCTTCAGTCGACTCAACTACTGTAACGGTGTCTTTACAGGGCTCCCTAAAAATCAATCAGATTGCTGCAGCTGATTCAGAACACTGCTGCTCAAGTCCTCACTAAGACCAACAAAGTGGATCACATCACTCCAGTTCTGAGGTCTTTACACAGGCTTCTTCTTCATTATGAACCATCCAGACCTCTCAGGTTGTCTGGGACAGGTCTGCTTTCTGTCCCCAGAGTCAAAACTAAACATGGAGAAGCAGCATTCAGATTTATGCTCCATACATCTGGAACAAACTCCCAGAAAACTACAGGTCTGCTGAAAGTCTCAGGTCTTTTAAATCAAGACTGAAGACATTTCTTTTTACCACTGCCTTTAATAAAATCAAATTTAAGGCTGTAGATTGGTAACTTACACTGCACTATAATTTCTACTGTCCTGTTTTATCCTGTTTTTATTTTCTATTCAACTCTTTTAAAAATTGTATTTCACTGTCTTTTTTTATTTCCCTATAATGCTTTTATGTTTTATGTAAAGCACTTTGAATTACTTTGTTGTTGTAAAGTTCTATACAAATAAACTTGCCTTGCCTTATTATACCAAAGATGGTCACATTTCATGTTCTACATTTTATATGGGCTGTGCCTGAATGCAGACAAAAAATATATACAATGTTATATTACATACTGATTATTTGAGGTCAGTTAGAACGCAGAAAGGTCTGACTCCCTGTAGGATGTCTTATGAATAAACTTTTATGACAGAAATAGACTTATTTCCTCTCACTAAACACAGGTATAGACAGTTGTTGATTTAACAACATAAAAAAAACATAATAATGTGGATTACTTTAACTTAAGTCACTGAAAGCCAGCACTGGTTTAAGATGAGCTTGGGATCTATGGGTTTTTTTTCTCATTGAAAAAAATGGCCTTCATTCAGCATTTCTTTCCTTTTTATATGAAAGTGGAAAGCTTCTGAAACAGAACAGGCTATTTCACATAGAGTCTGAGCCTCTGGCCCCACTCACGAGCTCACATATATAGAGACGTTTTGAATAAGAGAACACTTCACCATACAGTTCAGGAAACTTTCCTTCTTAATGGCAAAAACTATATTTACCTGCATCTCTGCAGCTGGCAGGTTTTCAGTGACCTCAAGCAAACTTACAAAGAGCCAAAAAGGAACTGAATGACGCATGTGCATGAATGTATTCATCTTCTGTGATAACTTGGTCCTGGAATTAAGCTCATATCTAATTTAAGTTACAACAGTGTCATCTTTACTTGCTGAGAGACGTCTGCAAGCTGCAAACCAGATTCCACAGACAGACTAAGTGAACTTTCTTCAAGTTTGCAAAAATCTATAAATACTGTGATTTTACTTTTTCTTTTACATTTGTAAAGGCTTTTGACGTAAGGCAAAAGTGGGCACAATTAAATTGCTCTTAACGTATGAATTGTAACAGTGTATTTGAATTGGGGTGAAATGTTTATTTCTTTAGTGTGGATAGTTATTGTTTCAGATTAGTTTGTATTAATATTTTATTGTTTAATTCTCTGTTAACATGTTTTGTGTCTGTCTTTTTAACATCTCAGTACAATACATTAGAAACAATACATAGAAAATAATAATAATTCAGTATGCTTTGTAGCTCTATAAGTTAGTCAGTTGTTATGTGTCAGGTCAGTTATTGTGATTATTGATTTCAACCACATGGTCCAGACATAATGTCTAACTAAGCTTTACATGTTGGCTACTGCTTTTCATGCATATTATTTCAAATAAATCAGAAACATCTACTGTTGTTCAGATATAACACACATTATCTCATGCTATTCATTAACGTCTACCTGTGATACAATTTCTGACAAGGAACGTCTTTGAAAACAAATGTATGATCAACAGTTGTTGAATAAAGCAATCTTCGCACAAAACTTTACCACAAATGCTAAAATATTATATTTTAAAAATCCTCAGTGGTGAAGTATGGTTAACAGTTAAGAGTTCATGCAGGGTTCAAAGTAAATTCCTGTAATTGTATTAGTTAATTGTATGTGTGTTAAACATCCCCCGCATTCCCATGTGAGAGATGACCTGTTCTTCCTCTTTCCAGAGAGAGTTCATTTGCGATGAAAGTTCCTAACCGATGACAGGGGAATAACATCTACAGGAACTCAACTCCTCACCTGGCCAGTGTTAGTTTCTTAATATCTAACCATTTAGTAATGCAAAGGACCGTGTGTTTTGCCCAAGATGAAGGTCAACGCTCCTATATAGAACAGGTGACTCAGCTTCCAGCTTGGTAGAGAAATCCCTGTAGACCTTTGACCTCCAAATCTTTTAGCAGCGCTTATGGTTGGAGATCTGCTCCAGGCTATTAGAGAGATTAGTGTCAGGCAGATTTGGGAACGGGCCAAGCCTATATCTGTACTTCATGGTATTCTCAGCATTTATTATAGAGCACCCAACACATGTTGAAACCTGATATGTGACCGTATAGTAGCACATACTGCAGCATAAGGCAATATGTGTTGACCTACATAGAGTCTATATTTTATGAGCAAGCTATGGATTTAAAATATAATATATTTTATGGTTTAAACCTTATGAAACATCGCTATAATTGACGATGGATGCGTTTAGGATCTCTAATATATACCTTTTCTTTACGTTTGTTGTATATTTTGGACAGAAAAATACACATAGGCCTATGCATAATAATAGCCTACAAGATACACTGTACACAATCATACACAGATTGTAGCCTACAATAACTTTTTATCTGCAAATACATGTCATAACAATACGTGGTAAACACAGCTTTGGGTTACTTATTATTTTGAGACGACTGTCTGACTCTGACCGCCTTCTGTTCTTGCAACGGCACACGCTAGAGTGTAAAACGAGCAGCCTTTCCGAATTAAAAACAATCCCTGGCTCGTAAATCAGTTTCATCAAGTTGGCCCGAGTGCACCAAGCTGATACCAGAAATGGCTGATTCTGCCTGTGATTTTTATTCCCGAGTAATTACTTTGTAAAAGTGGGGTAGTTAATTTTAGCGGCGCAAATTAAAAATCCCACAATTTGAGAAAAATTAGATCCCTAGCACCATGTTCAGATTAACCCGTGTGCCCCATCGCGCGTTCAATTGTAACATTTTATTTTGGAATGCTTAACAGGAAGCTGAATATATTAATTTGGCTGACTTGACGTGAATCAGTGACGCCATCTTGAAATTGTCCCGACAAGAGGAGGCGACGGACTTGGGAAAAGCAGCTCGTACTAAACGCGATCGCTGCATTAGCACCAGGGATTAACGGCAGCTTTAGAGGTTATTGTTATCATATGATAGTGTTTCATCTTCAAGTAATTTCGACGGACGAAGGCTGTTTGGCACACTTTGGAGCGGGCTAACAAAACGGAGGGAGCCTGGTAATCGGTTGTTTCGCTGTTGGAGCGGACGGTGCTCTGGTTGTGGCCGGGCAGCCCCACCGGACTGTCGGACGAAACTGACGCTTCCACACGGAATATAACAGCAATACGTTATGAACCGTGGTGGGAGGTCATTTTCATTTTGACGTTTTAAAGCTATACTACGGAACCTGTCAAAGAGAAGTTTGATTGGAGAGCTGAGTGCGCTTGATTTCCAGTCCGATGGATGTTAGCCCTGCCCGGCTGTGGCTCGGCTCTCTGCTCCCCTGGTCTGAAAATAACAGGTTAAACACCAACAAGCACAGGTGAACGCGTCTGTTCATAACAATGCTGCAGACCTGGCAAGTAAATGACAGCCCTGGCCTGAATGCCAACAAGTCGCCCTCCATTGCGTGTCTGTAAACCTGGAAATACCAACAACCATCCCCTCCTCTTCTTCACCCCCACCTCTTCCTCCCTTCTTTTTTTGGACTAACAAGACTGGCATTACCTGGGATATTTTGGATTTAGGCTCGATCTTGGCATTTTTAATAATGTCCTTTTTGCAGAGACAGTGCCCTCTAGAGCAGCAAGACATTTAATTTTACTCAGTCGTCTTGAGATTGTTGGGCTTTTTTGTTTTTCTTTATTCTCTTTCTAGTCAGAGGATCAGATTCGGATGGAAAATGGGAGACGCCACCAAACTGGCCTTCGCCGTTTTCCTCATCTCCTGCTCTTCAGGTGGGTGTGGAGGGGGTTATGCATGGCTTATTGTCAGCTGTGGAGAATTCAGTGCAATGCTTATTGTTATCTCTGCAGTGTGCAATGCATAGCTTGTTGTTATATTTGCGGTGCAACCCAGTGGGAAGGGGGGGATCCCACATCTGCCGTGCCGCCTCATTTTTGGTGCCCTTTATTCGTATACTCCCTGTGTGGATATGCATTGTACATGCTGCAGACGTCAAGTGAGCCCAAGCTGGGGACCTCAAGGGGTCCTTGAGAGGCTCCTAGCGGGAAATACAAGAACAAAGTAGTTTTTATAGTTTAATTTCATGAAGAGAATAGAAGGGACACCATGGGACTGTGTGAGGATGACCAAAGGCTTACAGTATAGACAGTTATGTAAATAACTGCCAAGTAAAATGTAACATTATATAGGGCTGATTTAAAGAACATTAGTTAAACACACCGAGTGGAAATAAAAAGCAGTTATTATTTGAAACCCAAGTTGGGCTCACCATAAGACAAATAATCACTATTGTATTTTATAAAAAATATTTGAAAAGGCTCTTTTTAAAGCTTTTATCTTATATAAAGTCAGTATCTTCTAAGTATATTGTCTGAAAAGGGCATGGAAAGATTGATTCAGATATAAGAAGGTGTGTCAACTTTAACCTTTTGTTTCTACAGCACATTTAGTCAGTATTATAACATTGTAATGATCACACTTTGTCGCAGCAAAGCAATTTTCAGCCTTCATGCTGGTGAACATTGTTCGTGTGTCCTCATATGACAGGGCTGGATGCCTAATGAATGTAAGCGGGGTCAGTGAGACGACAGGAAGGAGGAAGAGGGAATCAGCATGAAGCTTTTAATGATAAAATCTCTGCTTGATTTTGTTTAAATGTACAAATGGTGATGGCTTGATGTTCCAATGGATGCAGCCCAGGCCTCAGTAAACCTGTTCCTCCTCCCAAAATGACACTGTCTAGCCTCACATAACACCAGAATGTTACGGGGCGGGGGGGGAAGTCTATGGCCATGCAGTGCTCAACGTGCAACAACGTTCAAAGCGCAGCGGGAAACTGAGACAAGGATCAAAATACCTGAGTTTGTTGTGAGATTTCCTCCATCCCATACCAGAAAGGTGATAAATAGTAAAACGGTGCTTTGAACTTCCATTTCTTGCAACACCCTAAATAACAACAGGTCCATGCTGCTAACAAGAACAACCTTAGTTTCGCATTGTGTCATTTAATGGTTTGACTTGATTGTGATTAACCACAGAGATTGTATAGGTAGAAAGAATCAAAAATCAGACCTGGAGGTGGATTTTTTTTCTATAATTGTTTGTAAGCAGACATGGGATTACTGGATAAGTGCATTCATTAGTGAAAGAAGTTTCTTTCAAAATGTAAAATGTTATTGGCCATTGTTCATGTGCTTGTTCAACTAAATGACCTTGCTTATAAAATATATCCAGCGTACCTGTATAAAAGCTGTTCCAAATAGGACTTAAGAGATGGAAAAGGTAAAATAAAAAGTTTTAATGAAAGTGTGCTTTTTACAGCCAGCCCTGGGGTGTTTGAGCATTTCAGTAGAAATTAAAAGGCTTCTCAAATACGGTTATAAAATAAATAATAAAATAATAGTTGGGGTTGGTTAGAGTGTAAGCCAGGTGCTCTCTGTATTGCTCAGTGCAGCAGATGATTATTCCACTCGCTCATTACTGTCTGAAGTGGGGAAATGAATGGTTCCTACTTGAGGTGGAATAATAATCCTTTATGAAATCCAAGTTGAATTGGCACAGCTCAAGACGACACCAACAAACCTCTGATAAGGGCAGGGCACTTAGCCCAGAGTGGTTTTATTTGATGAGGCCTATTGCAACATGCCCTAAAATTAAAGATAACATTAAGATTTTTATTCAGACTTCAAAACTGTAGTTATTTGGCAACTAACAGCTTAAGTAACACTGTCTTTTTATTTTGTTCAGATTTTATTCTAGTATGTATATTTCACCAGGCAGGGGAAAAAAACTAATTTTCAGTTTACTGAATATAAAAAGCAAGCAAGCAATCGATTTCATTTTTGTTTAAGTTGTGTTCAGCCAGTATTTCCCCTAGTATGGAGTTGTAACAGCGGTGGTGGAGCAAAATTTTTGTATAAAACCCCAACACAACATGTCTCAGCAGCATTGCTCTTGTGTCCATGAGCATGCGATGCAGATTAGAATAGCTTAAAATTTCAGTGTTTTCCTATAGTTTTATGTGAGCTTTAGATTAATGTTTTGGTAGTGGTAGTCATGGTCAGAGGGGTGGGGAGGGTTGGGACTCCTCCCCCAAGAAAATTTTACATTTTCCAATGACAAATATGTATAAACATCATATTGAGCCATTATATTCACTATATCGCTGAACAAATAGTTGGAAAAGTTAGAGCAGATAATTAAAGATAAACAACACCGAAAGATCAGTCTACTGGAGGTAGGGATGAAACATTTACCGGTTTAACGATAAACCATGGTAAAATTCCCGATGGTTATTATTACAGTACACATTGTAATTATCATCATAACCGGGTTCGGTTACTGCGCTATAATATACTCACAGCAAATACTGTGCAGCATCAACCAAAATAAGTGTCAGTCTCCCAGAAGCAGGCGTGCATGCGCAGTATGCGACATGGGTTGAAAGACAGCTCTATGGAGATTTTTCAGTCACTCTGAAGTCTGGTCCTATTTTAGTTTTTATGAGAGCGCTGATGGAGGCTTGATTGAAGAAAATGACCTTATGGTAAAGGTAGAGTGAGTTAATTTTTAGCTTTGATTTGTCTGTCTGACTTGCTAACAGCTTGTAAACTGAAGCTCTCCGTGTTAGCTGCGCTTGTAAAAACGCTACACGCTATATGTTGTTCTGCTGCTGTGTGCGTTGTGTCTTGCAGACTCGATCCGTTGACTGCACACCTTACGCGGTTTAGTCAACCAACCAGCATATATTGTTAATTTTAAATCCAGCAGCTATGAAGTTAGTTGTAAAAGTGTCAGAACAGGAGAAACGCTGCAGACTCCTCTGTATTTATATCAGTTGTTGGGCTCATTGCAGTTACTATCACTGTCTTCTAAAGGCTTATTTGTTTTCATGTAATTGTGCATGTGGTCATTGCATTACCTATAAAATCTTGATGATGCACACTTAGATGGATTTTATGTTTACAAAAGGTATTGGCTGTTGTTTTATTGTTCATGCAAACAAAATGGCAATTTTATTTGTAGTTTTCAATATAAAACTTGTTGAAATGGTTTCAGTGTGTGTAGCAGTACATTTTAATATTTTTCGGCACATTTTTACAATACCGTGATAATACTGATAACCGTGATAATTTTGGTCACTATAATCGTTATATGAAATTTTCATACCATTTCATGCGCAGTATTGCGCACCTTTAGATTTGGGGAAAGTAATTTGGTTGGTTATGATTCTCTCCAGTGATTTTACATTTAAGGCACAGCATGTTTTGGGCATAACCCACTAAGCCTTAACAGCAAGAAAACCCTGTTAATATGACCTCAGAATCATTATAGATACGATTGTTCATGTTTGCCTTTTGTGTCTTCATTTTACAGCTTTTGACATTTATCTGTATAGACATTAATATAAAAAATAGGCAACATGAAAAACCACCTCACTTCTGAGGTGTATTTTATTTGCACATTAAAATCCAAAAAGAAGTATCTCCTCATTACCTTAAAAGGACTAGTTTGCATCACTAATTTGCTTTACTAACCTCAGCTCCTCCAGTCACCACCGTCCTTTGCTTTCCTAAAAACCACTTATCTGAAAACTGAAAAATAAGTACATCAGTCTGGACAGGACAGAGCTGTAGGCTACACTAGTTTAGTCTAAGTTTGTACATGATGTTCTCAACATTGGACAAGTAGGCAGTAATAAAATACAGCTACCAGTTACTTTCTATAAATTGAGCTAATGTTAAGTTACATAGAGCCATAAAACGTAGCCTACTGTATAAGTTTCCCTGCTCGCAATCACCATCACTTTCTGCCGCTCGGACAATCAAACACTCGCTACGCACCTCCCGATTCCTTACAGGAGTGACTCAGGAGTGCTCCTATAACACAATCTGTCGCGTAGATATTCTGTATAGAACGAAGAGAGGAAGCTAGCCAAGCACTTAGTGTTGTTGTGCTTGCACAGTGTGTGAGTGAAAACATTTGTAGCACATAGTTAAATGATTGTGGGAAATTTTAGTAGCGGCGGTCATGATTGAGCAGCGGCGCACCGCGGCTCCTGAATGCATGTAAGGGAAACACTGGTTCAGCAGCTGCCCAGTGTTCTGATCCACACTGGCGGGTCAAGGTTGTTTACTAAAGTGTTGATGTGACAGGACAGTAAATGGTCCTCTTGTGGAAGTTTTGCTACTTTGGGTTGAGTTTGAGTCTGCTGAACAGGAAAGTGACATTTTCCTTCCTAGGAACTGATAAAGTGACGCTGCCTAAGCGAGCCGTGTTTAACTCAGGTCGTCTGTTTGATAGGAGACCTCTGCCTCAGATCTCTTGATCGCTTGAACTGCAGATTGGTAAATATTTACTGTGCCGCCTCACACGTTATGGCACGTTCAGATCCGATTCAATTTGAATATGAGCTGACGGCTGAAGGAAACTTGGCGCTGATTTTGTTTTTGGCCCAGATGTTTCCTGTTCAGTGTCAGAAAAGGTAGTAGAGTGCTTTATTTCTAAGACGGTGGGTAACAGCGATATGTGCCTTCTCAAATGAGTTAATGAGGATAAATGGGTTGAAGTTGAAGCAACAAGACCCTGTCCTGTTTCTCCTCTTCTGACATGATGTGAATGCAGCTCAAGCAATCACCCGCTGGTTGTGGAGGTCATTCAGCGGTGTAAAAGTCCTGTTTTGCTGGTAATGTGTTGGAAATGGCTGTCTGCTTATATCCACCGCGGAGGCTGATAAGTTGAGTCTCATGCTCATGCCTTCACATTTGGCCTC